ATTATTTGCTCGGCAGCCATAGCCTCCAGCCCCCAATCAACCCCACCATATCCCCACCATCCCTCCCCATCCCCCAATCTCAACCCGAGACTCTCAACCCCGCCGCTCGCCGTGCGCGCGCGTGAGGCGCTCCCGGGGAAGTTCGCCGCGGGGGCGCGACTCGCGGCGAAGGCGGGCTTCGACGGGGTGCAGGTCCACGCGGCCCACGGCGCCGCGGCCAGCGGATCCTCCCAAGGGATGGGCTGCATCTGGGGGCTCGGGGGCGGGGGGAGGAGGAGGGGGGGGGGCCAAAGGGAGACCAAAAGGAAATTTGAGGTTGCACCTTTTCTGGTCGGGTTCAAACGGTGTGTCGTTTTGCTGGCCGGTGGCGTAACGGGCCCCTGTTTTACACCCACATAGACGTCTCAACTTGGGCAGACGGACCGCTTGCAATGGCCGAGGCTACCTGCTGTCCCAGTTCCTGTCCCCACACACGAACCGACGCACCGACGCCTATGGCGGGAGCGCGGCAAACCGGGCCCGACTGCTGCTGGAGGCGGGAAGAAGACGTGGCCGAATGCGACCCTTGGATGCTTCAACATCACTTGAGAACCTCCTTTGGGGCCAACAAAGGCTGGTGTTTGGTCCCTTGCATTTTTGTTTGCAGTTTCGGGGCTCTCAGAATCCCGGTGCCCGTTGCCAATGTGGACTTGTGGACCCGCTGGATGTTTCCCTTCCATGGGTTTCTCTTCAATAGAACCCTCAGTTTGGCTCCTTGTGCCAACAAATAACCTGGGTTCTGCAAAGATGCACTTGAGCGAACCAGATCCAAGGGATCAGCCTTCGTTGGGCGACCCTTGCCCTTGATGTTTCTGCGGGGATCTTCAGGTGGATAATCCCGTTGACTCATCGGAGGTGGTGGCAGCAGTGCGGCTGGCGATTGGCAGCACCAAGGTCTTGTCGGTCAAGGCGGGAAACGCCGGCAGGGCCGTGTTTGGCCTCAGAGGTCCGTACATGTCCCTTTCCAGCGGATTTAAGCATCACCCTTTGGGAACTTTAGATGAGCATCCCCTCCCAGTCTCCGTGTGACTTGTCCTTTCAATCTTCCCTGTAAACCAACCTTAAAAAGGGGTGAGACCTGTAAAGAAGTTTGCTCCTTTGACATGAGCAAAAAATACTTTAGATCGACCTATGAGCTTGCTAACTCCAACAATAAAAAGTCCTTCCCTTCAAACCAACTTTACGCAGGGTACCAACTCCACAAACCCAACCCTACGCCCTGAATCCGATTCTGTGAATATTCTCTTGGAGCTTCTCTGACTCAAACCACAAAACGCCCATGCCAACCTTAAAACCAACCTTAAACCGCCAACCCAACCTGAAAAAGGGGCACCAAGTTGCCCAAAGAAGTCAAAAGGCCCAAAAGTCACCAAACAAATGCGCACCCCCCGTGCTTTCGGCTAAGGAAAAAAAGACCCGACTCGAACTTCGCAGCTTCCAGTTGGATCCAGTGATCAAAACCCGAATGAGATTGTTCAACACCCCACAAATCCCCAGGAGCTCCGAATTCGTATCCCACTGGACTCGTTGGATGGCCCCAGGGCCAAGGGCCCAAAGTCTCAGGTGAACTGCGCGGACTTCCGCCTGGGCGGCCTGGATCAAAGCGAGGCCCTGGAGCTCATGGCCAAGCTCAAGCGCCTCGGAACGGACAGGACGGAAGATGGGCGCTGGGATGGGGGGTGAGGGGGGAAATCACAGGCGCTGCGGCGCGATTTGAACTTGGTGGCGATCGGGAGAAGGCCATCCGAAGCCTTGGTGTTTCTTTTAGATCTTTTTGGGCGCGTGGCGGGGGTTTCCGATTCCTTAGCTGTCTCGATAGGTTTTGGGTGGTTGGTTTTCCATTGAAAGCCCACCAAAAGAAAACTTTCAGCGAGGGATCTGAGGACAGCCCAGGTAAAGGTCTCCGAATCTCGGTGTACATTTCTGTGTGGCTGGCCGTTTCTGATGTACCGGCTGCGTGGTTTCAGGCTGTGTTTCAGATTTTGGGGTGGGCGAAATGGGTGTTTCGCCCACCTGCGGGAGGGTATACCTGGAAGATCAATTTCGTGTTGAAGGGACTCTTTCTTTTTTGAGGTTCCATCTTAATGGGAAGCCTCACGTTGGATTACTCTTTTCTGGGTTGTCCGTCGTTGGGCCAAGTTACGGCCCCTAAGGATGAGACTTGTGCGTTGTTTCAAGGGGTTCTACCGATTCGGGGTAAGATGATTCCCAGGCAAGGCAAAACAACTCCAGTGCAGGAGACCAAAGAAGACCTCAACTGAACTCCATAGTTGGTAGCTAGCGCATGGATAAGGATGGATCATTTTGTTGGGGGAGGTCTCAGCAAGTCATGCTCTGATAGACGTTGATGCTCGCATCCATTTGAAGAGCAAATTCTTAAGTGGACCTAGTTTGAATGTTCCGTCGTGGCCGAATTGCCACACATGCTCATGGATTTGCAACTCTAGTCGTCAGTGAGTTGAGCATGGAGTTAGAAGAGGATCTGGGCGTTTCAGGTTCTGTGTGACCAGTTTCTTTGGGATCTTTCGATTTGCTGAAGAAATTCGGTTCTTGTGCCCGGGGCACCCGCAATGTTCGGTTTGGTTCCATCCTCCGGTTTGCTCGATGGCCTACCACTTTGCACCTGTGTCAGCCCAGTGGGTTCTTGAATTTGATGGGTGCCAGGAGGAACAGCATCGGCTGGCTCCTGCCGGGTATTAACTATGGCAGGTGTGCAGATTGTTGCTCTTGAGGAATCGTTGTGTGTCTGTGTGTTTGCATTTTGTGTTTTCCCTCTAGTGTGCTAAATTTGGAAGCTTGTTCAAGTTGCCTCTGCATTTGGAGGTTGTGAGATACTTGTTCCTCACTTCTGTTAAGTTGCGTGCGGCCTGCCATGCTGCCACATGGCTTGCCCGGTCGCGTGTGCCTTTCTCCTGTCTTGAGGCAGGCGTCGGTGGATCTGGTGGAGATCTCCGGCGGGACCTACGAAAATATGCTCATGGTGAGACAGGAGGAAGCATAGCGGGACTTGCAGAAGTTTTTTTGGCCAGGTGGATAGACGAAATCCGTTTCGCACGACTGGGGATTGGTGGTTTGTCCCAATGTTCATGCAGTTTCAGGTTTTCATCCATCCCAACCGGTGCGAAGCGGATTTCCTCCATCCCGTTGGGTGTCGCGTCGCTGTCCCATTGACCGGGGGCAGCATGCCTACCTCTTTGTTGCTTTCCTACTTGTTTGTCGCATTTCCATGGACCAGTGGAAGAAACCAATTCCTGCATGTGTGTCTCTTTGTGTGATGCGTGGACTCCTCCTTCAAGAGAAGAGAAACGTATGGGCATGTTCCAGAAAGGTCTTGGTACTTTGGCTTAGTTACTAGTGGCCGAAGTGTTGAGGAGAAGGAAGGCTACTTTGTCGACTTCTCCAAGTCTGTGCGTGTGGGGCTCAGGCCCTGCGGTTTCGCCACGACGGCTTGCTCGTTTTGCGGGGACGGGGGGGGGGGGGGGGGGAGAACATTCAATCCATGTGGTGGAAAGGGGGACCCATACGAATTCAGGTTGGGCCAAACACCTGCAAGCATCTTAAGCCGGATTGGTTCGACGAAGCAGTTTTCCTTCAAACGTGCGTGTGTGAAAGGATAGTTGCCCAGCGGTACAAGGGGCGGCTTCCCCTTCTACGTGGCCAATGAAACAACCGGGATTTGTTTCTGATCTGGTCATGAATGGCTCGCATATGGACCAGAATCCATCAAATGTTTGCATTGAGCTCAAAAATGGGTCTGACCCACCGAGTGTCCATTCATCCCCCGGTCCGTCAAGCTTGCCGCAAGCCTCGCAACCCAAGGTGAGAAGGTGCCCGGGCTGCCGGTGTTGGCGGTGGGAGGCTTTAAGAGCTGCAGCCTCAGGTTCCGTGCAAAGCTTCGGCGCCAGGTGTCTCTTGCAGAAGGGTGGGTCTGAGGATGTTTACTCTGTGGCTTGGGATGTCCCAAGCTGGCCTCAGTGAGGCTTCCTTAAGTGGGCATTGGCCACCTACCGACTGACTAGCAGGCATTTCTATTGACATGGGTGCAGTGGTTGGGGTCTTGCATGACATGACCCTGGAGGAAGAAGGCGTCGTTTTATGTGATGCTGAATTGAGCTATCCGCATGGCTACCCTGCTGCTTCAGAATGAGGGTTAGTTGGGTTCCAGGAAAGTACTCCACTGCTTCAGCGCACGGCGTTCCCTTTGTATGACCAATGCCGGAATGAAATCCCGGAGAAACACTTCTGGAGGGGGTCCAGAAATGGTCCGCACGTTTTTGCAGCCCTAGGAATTAATGTTGGCGCAAAAGGTGATTTCCAAACAAACCTAGATTTTCTCCACAACTTTCCTACTTGGACACCTGGAAAGAATTGACACGAATCCAACAGGCAGACCTTTCCTTTCAACGGAGGTTCCGGGAAAGATGAACAGATGCATGGGGTTACATGCCAATGGGTGCTAAAGAGTGCAACTGTCACTTATTCTTCTTTGTCTTTTTCTTTTTTCTTCTTCTTCTCCTTCTCCTTCTCTGCTCCTGCTCCTGCTCCTTCTCCTTCTCCTTATTATCCTTCTTCTTTTTTTGTTTGCAGGGGTGGATGGGGGAGGGCTTGGACCAGTTTTAAGACCTACTTCGTGTGCATTCCCGGGCTGCCTATTTTCGTCGAGGCCTGGTGGGCTGCGCGAGCGCGATCGTAAAGGGCGAGTGCGACGTGGTGGGCCTCTGCCGCTTGCTGTGCCTCCAGCCGGACTTGCCGAAGAGGTGGGCGAATTTTCGACGGGCCCGCGGGTTTTCGGGGGCTGTTTGTTTTTTTTTGGTCGGTTGCGTTGGGAAAGCAATAGGTAAACCAATGAAGTAAGGGTTGCCTTACTTAAGTGGTAACCATGGCTATAACCGCCTTGTCACGGCTTGAAGCCATAACCATGAATAGTAGTCACTGGCTCCCCCCTCACAGGACTCCGTTTGCCTGCTATGCTCTTTCCAAATATCACGGAAGTGGGAGTCTAGGGCCTTTCCAAGAGCATGGTGGCTTTCTCAAACCCAACATGGTGGACATGTGTGGCTTTTGCTTCCCCTAGTGGAACGCATTTGTTCCAGTCATGTAGAAAGCGAGCGCTTTCTTTGGAGTCTTTGTCATGAATCTGGTGGTGCCTGTGCTCCGTACAACCAGCCAGAAGTGTTGCAGATTAGGTGGGGGCCTTGTCCGTCTGCGCGCACGGCCTGTGCACGCTTCCACACATTGCTACTTGGCCGCCCCCTGCTTGCTTTTCTCCAAGGTTTTTCAAACTACGTACTCCCCCCTTTCCCAGGTAGGAGCTTTTCGACCCCATTGCAACCAAGCTAAGGCAGAGTAGGGGTCTGAAACATGCTAACCCTTGTTCGCCGTATCACGTGCCATCAAGAAACCAGGGTACCTATTTGTGGACACAAGGACTGCCTGCGGATTTGGTGTTTCTTCTGTATCTTGGTGTGGGCCCGCTGGCCTACTGTCAACTTCGGAGTTCCCTTTAAGTGGGGATGTTATTTGTTCCATGGTTTTATGACGTGTGAACTTGATTGCTGTTGTGTTGGATCTTTAGACTTCAACTGTTTGGGAAATCAATTGTTGTCCATTGAGCCCACAAGAAGTTTAACTTTTGGCAGGGCTCGTTGCAGCAACCAAGTGAAACGGGATTTCCTTGATGACCACTCCAAATAATCGTGGTGCCTTGGAACGCCAAGTGAGCGTTCTTCCCCCGCACAGCTTTTTTCAGGTGGCTGGAGGGAGAGGACCTGCCAGCCGCCGGGAAGTCCGTCAGGCGACTTCGAGACTCGAAACTCAGACCTCGCTTCATTCGCTCTCCATTTTTTATTGGCACGCCCTTTCATCATATTTCCGCCTATATGGCGAGCTCATTGAGGGGTACAAGGGGCCCACCATGAAGGTTCTGGGGGATCCAATCCTTGGTTCAGCGACTGGTAAGTTTTGCAGATATTTTTGCGCAGTATCTTCTTGCGCTGTGACTTCCGCACCTTGCGAATTCCATTCGCCGCAGTCGCCGGGGTGCACCAGGATCCAGGTGCCCATTTTGGGGGCGCTGCTCATCCCGGGCCTTGGCAGCTCGGATCGGACGGGGTGCTCCTCAAAAACATGGGAAAATCGGAGGCCCAAAATGGCAGCTCCTGATGGCCGTCCTTGGCCCTACAAGAAGGGAGCCCGAAGAAACACCCAGATTGTCGATGTTTTTGTTTGCATCCTGTGGTGAAAAGCCTTACTTGTGACAGAATTTGCTTTTGCCGGCTTGTACCTTGTGCCGGCATCTGCCTTGTCATTAATGTCCATCGTTTCCCACTGGACGTCAAAATGATCACGTTTTCAGAGGACAACAACAGAGGACGACAACATCGGAAAGCCCATGGGCCTGCGCTGGCGTTTGCAGTCAAAAGGAATTCGCAAGAATGCGCACGCGGCGCTCCTTTCACACTGAAACTTGGAAACATGTAGCTTAACATTTGGCCAAATCCACCGCTTGGTCGGTGGCTTATCCCAGGACTGCTGCCTTGATTTTGGATTTCATCCCAACTCGATCCGCTCCGATTCTGTCCACAATTGGCCCTCGTAGCGGCACGAAGCGGGGACTTGTCCATACCTCGGAATATTTCTTTTGAGGGTACTCTGTTTGGGGTGGATTTCAAGGGCAACCACACCCAGCGCCCCACAACTACTGCCCCGATAGAAGTGTCCAAAACTTCTGGAGGTACGAAATCCACTGTGGGGGTCCATAAGCAAGACGCATCAAACCTTGGCCCTGAGGCTATTACTACCACCAGCGCCAGATCCAGCGCATCGGCGCCGGCCTCCCTGTGGAGTCCAGGTGTCCCACATTGAGGCACTCGGAAAACGGGCGGCGACGACGGACAGCACATCCGCCTTTTCTCAACCGTAGCACGGGTGCGTGTTTTTGCGGGGACCTGGGGTCTCCATGACTCTTGAAAAATGGGGTCATTACCCAAAATACGGCCATGTCGACTCATTTTTGAAGGGTACGCTTGTTGGGGTTGGTTTCAAGGGAGAAGGAAAGGAACATGCCACCTTTTTCGAATCCCTCGATTTTGGCATGCATGCCCGATATGGGGGCTTGGTGCCCCGAGAGGCTCCAGGATTCAGAATTTTGCAATTGGTGCAGCTAGGTGGTTTTCTCATCCCGACATGTAAGGGAAATCCCTGGTGTAGACCTTGGCAGATGCAGGTGGTTGGGCCATTTGGGTTTTTTGGTGGGGGAAGTTTCTTTGGGGAACTTCGCCACGAGATTTGCAGCCGCTTGGGGGTTGAATGGCAGCTCTTCGTGGGGGGCAGGTATCGAATGTGTGCGCAGGTTTATATGATCCATGTTCCGCCGGCCAGTTGCGGAGGAGCAGAAATCAGCTTCTGATTTCTCGGAGTTTTTTTGAGCTCTCAGAACAGCCCGGACGGCCCGCAATAAGAGATCTTTCACCCGTTTGGGCATTGGTTGTTCCAATTGTTGAGTGGCCTTGTTCCCTTTGTTTTCTGGGTCGCCTCGTAGCGGAGAACTGCAAAAAGACCACCAGAAAAATATTGAAAAAGCACACCAAGAGTGAGCATTGCATCACAGGCTTTTGCTCGTGCGCCTGTTTTTGTTTCCTTGCTTGGTTTGGTTTGGTATAGTTTAGTTTGGTTTGGTTCGGTTCGGGTTTTGGTTCTGATTGGTTTCTTTTCATTTGTTGCATGGTGTGGTTTAGACTCTGCTTGCTCCCTCGCTCGCGCCGACGGCTTCGTTCGAACGGGCGAGGCTGCTGCTGGTGGCCCTGCCCCGGAAGCTCTTGTGGGAGCCGGGGCGCTTGTCCACGCAGAACCGCCGGGGCCCTCGGGTCCAGCGTCCATGGGGTGAAGCGAGCCATAGCCCGGGGCCCAGGATGCAAGGGCCTACAATCACAATGTCTGCATAGAGTTGTGGGAAGTACATTGTATTTAGCCAGTTCTAGTTGTGATGATTTATTCTGTTAGCCTTTATGTTGCCATTTTGCGAGCTTTCCTTGAGAGTCGGCGGCTTATTCAAAAGCGGTCAGTTTCACATTCGGATCCCATGGAACATGGTTCTAAAGGCACCTGCATGCAGCTCATAGGGTGGTCCTCAAAGCCAGCTGTTCAGTGGCACTTTTTGCTTCGTGGCTTTCCCACCAACAGGGCCGACCCCTCGTTTGGGTTTTGGATTTTTGCCCTTCCGGCTCGCAGTGCCGTTCAGACTTACCCCTGGTCCTAGGCGCTTTCGCGTCCCTTTTGCATGAGGCCATCGGCCAGTTGCATGCGCGGATGTCGGTCGCTACTTTCCCGCCATACGCGCCGAGGTTTAGGCTTGACAGCTGTCGCTCTGGGCGTGCTCGGTGGGAGGCTGAGTTGCACGGATGTTTCCGGATGCCTGGCGGATTTGCGGGGAGTGGGCTGAAGCGCAGGTTTCCGTTGAAAAGCGGGCCGCCTTGCAGGGCTTCAAGAATTTCAACCCAACCCGGACTCGACGCCGAGGTTTGCTTCTGAGCCGAAAGCGCGGCTCGTGATTCCAGCCAAGAGCTGGGATTGGCGCATTGGAAGTTACAGGGCTTTGGAAGCATCGCCTTTGCTTGCCCAACAAGCAGGTTGCGTGCATGTTGCAAACGGACCGTTTGAAGTGGGGTTTCATTGTGGAAGGCTGGGCCCAATAAGACCACTCCGTTTGTAGAGGATAGGGGGAGTGTTTTTTTCAAGTTGCATGTTTTAATTTGCAAGGGGCTCTTTATGACACTAAACCTGTGGCTGCCACCTTTCCGAAGGGGTACACAAGCGAATCGCCAGGCTTCAAACTCACCGATGTCCCTAGAGAGCTGGTAGCTTGGCTCAGTAGAATATGGATACCAGCTTGGCAACCAGCTTGCATGGTAAGTCCTCGTGTGTTCGTCTACCCTTGTCAGTTTTTTGGAAAAATATCAACACGAGCTCAAACAGGCAAAACACGGCACATGGAAATGTTTCCACGGCCAGGCCAGCTCGTAGAACGTGTCCCAGCCACACAGTTTGGCTTGACTTTCGAGCAGGCGAATGAAAATGGGCGGGCGCGAGCCGCGGATTTGTGGCTGAGCTCTGGCGAGCGCAACGTACATGCCGAAGGCGAAAGGAGAGCGACTTGGTCAAATTTGCTCCTAGTGAAGCAAGCTACGGTGCACCAGAAGAAGCCCCACATGTTCAGCTTGGTGCAGTTTCCAAATCTAGACTTGTGTTTTGCGACCTTTTTCAAGAAATCAAAGGCGCTCCCCGCAACCAAGACGACTTCCAACAGAGCTCACGTCAATCCTTCGAGCCGCAGGATCCGTCCCAGCTCTTGCAGTCTGAGGCCTGCGAGCGAAGGAGGTTGTTCATCGAAATGGACATCGGACTTCGGGGATTAAAGGGACCACCGGTCAAAGTCTTTTTCATTCATGGCCACCTGGAGTCTCTTTAAGGACCCTTCAAAAATGGGGTCAGTGGGTCATGGACCCATTAAAGGGTCATGGAGGCTCCATTACATTGGGAGAGCCGGCAATTGAATACGACCCGAAAAGGGCACGCAAACACAAACCCCAGTCAGGGTTGTACCCAGATGGGTCCTAAACGGCGAAACCCATACTCTTGACAACCCCCCATAGGTTTTCCTGCAAGCACCCAATTGCAAGCGAGTTGACCTCTCAACCTCCCGCTGGACTAAAGAGTCACTTGGGTTTGGACCTGCGGCAAACCAAGAGTTCGGACCCTCGGCCAACGGAAAGGTTGCCCGCACCTCTTACCGGAAACGGACCCCCCCAAAAAAAAAGACATAAATCATACTCTTAGGGAAGTCCTGTCGCGAACTCCCCATGGAATAATCAAGTTCCTTCTGGAATCGCCAGACGGATGGCCTACCTTTTCTTTTGTTTTTCATTGTTGAATCTCCGTGAGGTTCCTTCCCCTTGTGAAGGGGGCTCTCAGTCTGGTGGATCTTGTGCAAAGATCAATGTCGGCCGTGCGCATGATTTTGGCATTGCCCATGGTTCGTTCCGTGTCAGGGTCCCGGATAGACATGCCTATGCTACAACCTGAAAGTGCAAGTTGTTCCCTCTTAGGTTTGTCTTACAATGGTGGATTAATTTCAATACGGGTGGTTTCCTGTTTCCCTTACAGCCAACCCACAAAAGGGTACCCTCAAACAATCCACCCCCGCAAGGGCTTCCATGGTTATGCCAAGGGAGCCACCTTGAAAGCGACAAAGCAGAGGTGGGAATCAACCACTTGGTATCGCAGAGAGGGTTTAGTTCCCACAATCGTGACCAGGGATTCCTTGAGGATACATCCCAAAACCGCCTGATTTACCAACGGAACCTCTGAATCAGCTAGAGGCCTGCCATCATAAAACCCCTGACGCAGGCTTCGCGAAAATTTGGAGCACCCCAAGCCCTGCGAGCCCCGAGGTGGCTGCTTTGGAACACTGGGTCCAGGAGCACGTGCCGGCCCCAAGCGAGTGAGAAAGCAATTGGCAGGCGCCAAGGCGAATCGATCCTTTGACCTTTGGTTTCCCTTTTTGATCCATTTGCAGTCATGGCCCCAAATTGTTACTCGGTTATTTTTGGGTCCTTTGGGCAAAGAGTTTGAGCCAGTGGCATGTTGGCGGGGAAGTGGGGTTTAGGGCCAGCTTCTGTGATACCAAGGGAACCGTCATAAAGTTGGCATGGGGATCAACCACTTTGGTATGACCGAGTTTGTTTTGTCCATCAATTGCATATGGTGGTTTCAGAATGTTTGAGCCAAGGGTGGTTGGAACCACGACTAGTGGCTTCGACCATTGTGGCTTCACCCGCCTCAAAGCGACACCAAGTGGAGTTGTTGTTTAAGCTGTCAGCCTACTTAACGGGGATGGCCCGCTGTGGCAGGCGCTGAGTTAATCTTTCCTGACGAGCAAGCGAGCGCATGCTAGCTGGCCCCACAAAGCAAGCAGCAACTGAGCAAAGGAAAGGTGCCCAAGCATCAGCATGCATCAGCCTCATAGCTACATGGAGGTGCGTGCACGGGCTGGCAGTAGATGTTTGACATTTTTCTGCGGTTGTGTTTGGTTTCGGTCTGCCTTCCTGAAGGCGAAGCTCCACAAAGTGGCTGATTTTCTCTGTAGTTGCCAGCCATCCGGTTCCTTAGCTTTTTGGCTTTTTAGTGTTTAGTGGGGATTTCCATTTGACCCACTAAATGTTAAACTTTCAGCGGGGGATCTGAGGACAGCCCAGTTTTCTCTTCCGCTTTTCTCTAGACTTTTCTCTAGCAGAGTTCCAAGTCCGACGTCGGACTTTGAATTGTCCGATTCGCCCCGGGTTCATGACCAACCCCAAATCCATGGACTTGGCGACTCGGCGCATGCGCCAAGGAAGAGGACTGGAAGCAAGGCCGCAGGTCCGGAGCCCAAGGAGGCCGACCAAAGGGACAAGCTTGGTTTGGAAGTCCGTGATTTTTGGGAAGCATTTCACATGTTTCTTCGTTGTGGTTTAGCGGGAAATCCCCACTTAACTGCTAAAACATATATTTGTTGCTCCCCTTCCAACGTCAACAAAGAATCATGGGCCACTTGTCAAAATCTCAGTCCAAAAAATGGGAGGATCTGGTTCCCTTGTAAAGCAGGTGGTTTTTGGACGCATCCTTTGAGGAACCCTGGTGTCGCAACCGAACTACGCTAACCGATTTACAACTTGGGCATCATGTTAGCAGGAGCTTAGCCTCACAGCTTTCCCGGGTGGGAATGCTGGGAGCTACTCTCGCGGAAACATGGAACTGGAAGCTTCAAGGATCCCTGAGAGCCATGGGTCAAAATCCAAATCGTACCCCCAGTGAACATCCCAATCCCGACTAAAATAGGTTCTACAGTGGGAGGTGCACCTACCCCAAAATGGGATCCCATTGGTTTTGACCCACCGCCTTCTGGCAACTGAATGTTTGCACTTATCAAAACCTGCCCGCCGGAGGGTGCCGCGTCGCTACAGGGATCTTTCTTCCCCGGGCGCGCGTCAGGTTTCCCCCGAGGTTTGGATCTGAAGCCTCGGTTCTAGGGGGTAGATGGGAACCAGCCACCAATCCACGCCACGTTGCCACGTAGAGTGATTTCGAGGGAGGCTGAATTAGCTGTTCGGAGGTGTGCTTGCCCACCGGGGCGCCAACCAGAAGAGGTGCTTCTCGCGCAAGCAGACAAGAAGCACCGGGCGAACCAGCCTGCATCTAATCTTGGCGGCTCCCAGCCATCCGGTTCCTTAGCTTTTTAGTGTTTAGTGGTGTTTTCCATGTAGCCCACCAAAAGTTAAGCTTTTAGCGGGGGATCTGAGGACAGTTCAGTAATCTGATAGGTCTCAATGTTCCAAAGCCAGAAGGAGATGGAGGATCTTTTTCTTTTTCTCCGGACCCCGTGCCACACTGGGAAGTCGATATCCCTAGGTCTCCCACTGAGTGCATCTACCGCCAGAAGCTGGACGAGCGCAGCCGACCTTCTTGGATTGGCCGGATTCGGCTCTCTTCTTTGGCGTCTACTCAACTTATGGCAGACACCTAGGTCCCCCAGCAGTGCCCTTTTACCCATTTCTTGGGGGAGGGTTCCCCTACTAAAATAGACTACAGAAAGAAAGGTTATTCTAACCTCTCTACTGGAGGACCTAGACACGTATGGTTGTGGAGCAGGATTGTTTTAGGGTAATTTGTCTGCAACGTCAAGGGAATCCCATGAGAATGACAAAGTCATGGGGACGGTGCACGTTGGGGATTTTCCACCGGCGGGTCCAATCCTAGGGTGAGGGCTCGAAACACTCACAGCGATCACCTGCTCCCATTGAGTCGCCGAGTGTGTCGAAGCCTTTGTGCTGTGATTCCCTTTGCCTAGCAAGTAGCCAAGGGAGCCACCCTTGCAAACACTAGCTGGACAGTTGCGGCTGGTAACCAGGTAAGGTCACAGGGATTCCCGGGCAAAGCAAAAGGGCGGGGGCGGTTGGAATAAAGCCAGGAGGTGAAGAAGCTGGGCAACTGAGCGAGAAGTTTTAGGCCAAGCTGTTGACCCCGATTTGTTTTTCTCCGCTTTTGGTCGAGTATTGCGCCAGGCTGGTGGCGCAGGAGAAGATGGGCCTCTCCGTGCGCTTCCGGGTGGCTGCCAGAGCCTTTGCAACCGATGAGAGGTTGGTGCTACCAGCTCTGACGTCAAGTGCCCCCCTGAGTTTTGTGGGAAAAGCAGCTATGCCCATGGTGCCTCTTCTTGTCAGTGTTGATTGTTGATTCTCGAGTTTTCTGCTCTCCCGCAGGCACTGCCACAAGGTGAAATTGGGTATTTAAGCATACAAGAACGACATTATGACCATATCATCTGCTTGACTTGGTGTAGAATCAAGCCTCAATCCTCATCCCGGATGGTGGCTTTCCTTGTCATGGTATCCCCCTCTTGGTCTCGGAGGGCTGGGGCTTCACAATTCTTTGCCCTTGAGCAGGTCAACCGGAGAGGATAAAAGTGGCACCCTTACAATTTAGAGGGCATAGAATGGCCCTCTGGTTTGTGGCCTCGGGGTCAAGTAAGATTCGGCGAATCGTTGTGGAGAGAACGCATCGCGGAGACGGCTAAATGTGGGT